ACCTGGGAGTCAGCAGTGGCCTGCACAGAGACCTAATTCTAATTTAGTTTGAAATTCATTTTCAGATGGCTGAGTTCGGACAGAGGAAATGAGTTCAAAACCTTTCCTTCTTAACTACCATGGGAAACGCAGAGTTAAGAGTATTCAGAAAGAACAGCAAAGCCAACAGAAGATTTTGAAACAGAGTAATACCCAGGTACACTTACCGTTTCCAACAGAGTGCATGCACACACACCTCCAGGAGAAAAAACTCTGAAAAACTGAAATAAAGTGGCTTCTGGGAACTGAAGAAAGGATTAGGACTGAAAGCATGGCCAGACAACAAACTTTGGCCACAGCACTAGGAGAAATCCAGCTGGTACTCAACAGGAAATTTCCTCCCTACTGGCTCTCACAAAACTAGAAGGTGCTACAGGCTGCTGGGGTAGAGGGGGTCATTGACAGTCTTACCCAACTATGAACTACAGTACAACTACAGTGTAGTTACCCTGTGAACTACAGTAACAACCCACACCATGAGGCAAGCATCTGCGTGCAACAATGGCATGAATGCTGTGGGAGCAAGCATTTACTTTCTAATTAGATATGAGACCTGCTCCATCAAAAGAAATGTTATGCCTCATACTACAAATGTGACCAAGAACCCATGGTTGGAGAGCTGGCTACAATGTCAATCTGTCCCCTAGATTCACTATCTCTAGTACTTGTAGATTAGCGCAGCTCTCAGTCCTCATCAAGGAAGCTTCTTTGCTCAGTAGACAGTAGTTACCACGGAAACTCATACTTGGTCAAAATCCAAAAACTAAATATCATTATCAGCCACAATGGAAACATCTGTATCACAGCTCCTAACCGAGGCTCAGGTCTCATCCAGGAAGAGGGGGCAGAAAGGTTATAAGAGCCAGAGGTTGGGGAGCACCTGAATCAAACCATGCTTTCTGAACACATGACCTCACAGAAGCTGTGGTTGCCTGCACAAGACCTGCACAATACGGAGCCAGCCAGCATTCCAGTGTGGAAGGACTCATGAGCCCCACCCACCTTGGCTGGGAAGCTTTGGAAGCTAATGACTTCTGGGAAAGAGAAAAGATGGCCCAACACTAAAGAGTGTATGGGCAACACAAATTAGCATCAGTGGGCTTTTAAAAAGGACACAAAGTTGAGAGGAGGCTGGGAGGTGTTAAAGAGAGGAATGGGTGAATATTATTAAAGTACATCATATGTATACATGATAGTCTCAAAAGTGAATGAAAATGGTGTTTGAGAATTTAAAAAAAAAGTCATGGTCAGAAGCCAATATAACTCTTAATGCACTTCATAAATGCAATCTATTCATGCATTTATGTATATAATTCATTTTAAAAATATCCTACAACTGAGATGGCCTGTTCCCCTGCCTCACCGCTGACTGCATGTATCCACTGGAGACACTCACTGGGTAGGTAAAGGCTCTCTACTGTAGATCTCTGACAGCAGCACCTCGACTGCACATGTCAAGTGGACCCTGAAGGCTCCTTCTCACCAGATAATCTCAACTGGAATTATTCTCATACAAACGACAGCTTAGGAACTACATCAGCAGGCTACGTTCTGACTGCCATGACCAGCATAGCCGGTTCCATGCAAAGCACTGGGAAGCATGGCCAGGACAGGGAGGCATGCGCTAAGACCATCACCAGCTGCTCTTCTGACTCTGACAAGGAATGCAGGATAGTTTCAGCAATTCCTTATTCTTAGAAATCCTAACCAGATCGACAGATTTAGTGCTCAAATTTAAGTTAAAACAGCTTATTTGTTATCTTTAATAAAACTGAATATAATGATATTATACACATTTTTTTCTGAGAAATTTTCAGTGTGGATTTTGAAACTACTTTTACATAGATACCATAATTAGAATATATAAATTACAGTTCTGCTTCCCATCTACCACTGATGAGTATCTGTGAAAATATCATTTACTTCAAGATGTTACAGCAAGAAACACACAATAGGCAAAGACCAGAGTGAAGAATAATATTTAACCAAATACAATCCTCTTCAAGAAACAGCAATTTCTAATGAAGTCCCCATATCAAGATGCAACAAAAGAGAATAATCTGCCTTATCTCCCGGCAAATCACAGATTACTGGGCTCAGATGAGGACTAGGTGGAGATAGCTCAATGACGTACAGGCTGATCTGAAAGGCTAATTTGGTTTTAGTATCATACTTTTGTGAGTCAGTATTTTGACCATGTATAACTAGTTAATTATAAAATATAGAAATGGTTTCCAAGATAAAAATAATTTTAAAAAAATAACGAGCAAACATGTTTCAAAGACAGTTGCCTGAACTTGAAGGAAGTTCAAGTTCTCTGGGGCTTCAGATGAAGAGTGATGAAAAACAGCCTCACTTGTCTTCCCGGGCAAGCAGTGAACAGCACGTTGTCATTATATGAGGTGTTCTTCAAGACACAAGGCTGAGCATCTGCAGGGAACTGGTTACCTGCTCATTCCCCGTGTTGCAGCCATCTCCTCTAGTCCCTCTCGGCATGGATTAAATAACACTGATCTACTACTTAAAATAAGAGCATCCACTATGCCAAAATAGGGATTCTTTATAGCCAACGTCTGACCACACACCAGAACAACGTGTCAGCTCATTGGAGGCACAGTAATGCTCTTACCGATTTTAAAGGGCTGAATGCAAAAACTCTTACATTTGCTACATACAATAAATTACATTCATTTCATTGGCTTAAAATGCCTGCTCAAAATAACCCTCACAACTTCTTTGTAGCAAGCGATAAGCTTATTAAGTTATTTAGTGAACATTTTTCAATGACTCCATTTCCCCCATTCAGACGTAGTAAGCTCTCTGAGAGAAATGCTTCAGTGGGCATGTTAGTCACATCATGCACTTAAACCTTGAGCTCGAGTCTTCGCCAACAGGAGCAGCTGATGAGTTTTAAAAGAAAACAGCTATAGGACATTTTCATTTTCTTAGACAACTGTATCATCAAATTCACTAGGGGACTCTGGAATCAGTGTACTTTAAAGTCACAATTGAAACTCTCCTCTTCAGCAAACATCTCTCAGATGTCAGGTCCTACGTTCTGTTGTGCTGTGTGCCCATTTCTCCTAATGACAGATGCTGTGGACTGATCTCACAGGAGCAAAGGAGATCAAGTTGAGGTCAGATCTCCTTGTGAGAGCTGAGGAGGGAGGGAAATTTTCACAGCTAGGGATGTGGTTAATGCGTCCTCTATTCTGTTCTCAAGCTTCTCAGCTGGCGCATCCCAATCCTGCTCTTCAGCGGGGGCACACTCATCTGTATCTCACCTTCTTAAAATCAAAGACTCAATCCTAAAGCATTCGCAGATGACAAAGTGACTCTCTAGTTTGCATTTCCCATAATACTAAAATAAGGCTTTATCCTCTAGTCTAGAACTTTGCTTTTTTAATACTGCAGAAAGCCTCCATGAATCTGTTTAACGTATTTACTCTTTTCATCTATTCAGTGCCACCGGGCATAACACGCACTGCAGTGCACACTGCTGCCTTCCACCGCGCGACATGACTCACGGTACCGCAGCGCACCCCACTAATCCTGTTTGGACAGCTGGGTCCAAGAGCTTCTCAGCTGCATTTTAATTGTTCCATCTTTTTCTTTTTTCCTTTTATTTATCTCTATGGCAAACTACTCAGGAATTTAATTTGTCAGGCTTCAAAAAGTAAATTTTGCCATTAATTTGTATTGTTTGTAGTAAAGCCTACACTCAGCAGGTGATCTTCTCCCACAAGATCGAAATACACTGATGGTTATCAATTACTCTTAAACAACAAGGCACAATAAGTAAGAGTTTCAAAGGTTCAGAATGGAAAGGTGGCTGATGACGACCAGTATCTGCTGGACTATCCTACAGATGTGGCATTTAGCTTCAAATGGCGGCACTAATGCCCGTGTTTCATGTTTCACTATCAGCCCACCATAAGCAGATGTGTCCTACCAATCAAACACGAAAGAGAGATACTCAGTAAATAAATGGCCTGCGGAAGAGAGGTTTCTTTTACACTTATACTTTAATTCTACTGTTTATTAAAGCATATAACTACCACAAAGCGCTCATTTTCTGACACAGCTGCAGCACTGATGGCATGAGCCTTGAGTTGGTGATGGAGGCAGTGTAAGAGCAGAGCAAGTCCCCGGCCTACACTGCCAGTGCAGCCAGGGACAGAGTTCGCAGAGATGCTCTGTCTGGTCATTTTCTAATCATTAATTTACAAGGTTAAAACGTTAAGTCTAGAAAATTATATAGAACTGCCTAAAAGAAATGTCTGCCTGAAATAATATTTAGCCAAGAAAACAGTCTAGATCAGTGCACTATAAAGGACAAATAACTTATGACACACTATTTCATCGACAAAGTAAAATTCTTTTACTTTTAAAAGACAGTAAAAGCTGCCTATACATTGATAATTTAAGGAAATGCTACCATCAGCAGGCCAGTGGAGGTCACAGGACCGAAGCTGTCCTTTGACTGGATGTGTGCTCCCAGGGCCTGCACAACATCATGCTCGGCTCTGTTTCCATGAGTACGGAGCAGCTTAAAACACGCTTATAAATTTCTATTTTTTAAAAAGCATACACTAAACTATATATTTGGAAATATATTCATATATGAAACATTGTTTTAATATTTTCTAGGCACTAAAGTGTTTTTTAAAAGTCACAGTTTCCTCACTAGAAGATTCATAAGCCCAACTTGTGAATGTGAAGAAAAATAAAAGTCTATTGTTTGGGAAAGGAATGTTTTAAGTGCTTAAAAAATAAATGGTCTTTGTGTAAGAAAAGCATTTGCTTTGGTATGGCCCTATACACAAATGAAGTATAGAATGATATTATATTTTAAAGGTGATTTTTTTAAAAAGGAGTTTACAAAGCAAAAGTTAAAGAGATTTACTAAAGCTATCTATAAAACCATGGGCTTTTAATAAGCATCTCTCAATCAAACTTACCCAGTGTTCTTGACATCACAGGCAAAGCAGAGCTCAAGACTAAGATTGACACACAATTCCCAATGATCTGTGGAGAGAAAGAAGGATGGTGTGCAGGAAACAGCAGGAGGCAAAGAGCCCCTCAGCATTCTTGGAGGGCAGTGCAGGGCCCTCAGCACTCTTGGAGTGCAGTGCAGGGCCCACAGCACTCTTGGAGGGC